ATCGCTCTACACGTGCCTGCCGCCCCCCCTAGTGGCACAGCGGAATGTCTGCGGACTTACAATGCTAGAATCCGGGTTTCGATACCCGTGGTGAACAGAGCACTGATAGACCATTGTATAGCTTTGCGCTTAATTACAAACAAACAACCCCCCCCCCCAAGGGGCACAGCGGTATGTCTGCGGACTTACAACGCTAGAAACTGGGTTTCGATACCCGTGGTGGACAGAGCACAGATAACCCTTGTGTAGCTTTGTGCAAACATACACGTACTTAGTACAATATAGCGTTTAATTTTTAGTTATACAAAGACGAGATTTTACACAATTATAACAGTCTCCTTTGACATGTGTATTACGCTCTGGTATCATTTTTGTGCTAGAGAATACCAAGCAGAGCACATGTACATTTACCACAAATAACTTGGAACTTACGCCACATTTTATTGATTACGACTGCCAAATTTAATGTGATTCTGCTTGCTTGTGGATATCACACGGATTTTTTCCCCATTTGAAAATAATAATTAGAAAATAAATTTCTCGTCAAGTTTGAAGACAAACGCGAACTTAGCAACTAGCTACTTATTTGTAGATCTAAAGCATTAACATTTTCTCCAATTTCCTGGAACTAAAAACAGCCTTAGTCAGCACAGAGAACGAAGTGGAGTTGACATTTTCTCTCTCTCTCTCTCTCTATATATATATATAAGAGGGTTGAGTATATACGTTACATTAAAACAATTTTGAGTATAGACATCAGCTAGTCATATGACCATCACAACCGATATAAAAGAACAGACATCAGAACTATATGTTGACATTGCTTGGCATTTCATAGATTAGTGTGTTGCGATCAAAAAAGTAATTTCGTTTTGTAAATTTCTACGATGGATATAGTCCTTGTACTTAATGGCATTGTAAAACAAAGGAATTTGGATCAACTTGGGGTACCAGGACCATCCAAAAGGAGACTTATAGAGTTCATTTACCAGCAGTGGTAAGCAAAGTTCGGAATCTTGTAACAGGTGAAAATCCGTGAATACAAATGTTAGTGCCAAAAGTTGTCCATCTACCCAAAGCAACAGTACACAACATACTATAATCTTCGTCTGGAAAAGCGATAAGAGATACGTAACATATAAGGTTTGTTTGGTGGGACGGGGATTCGAACCCGCGACCCTCAGATTGTGAGTCGAGCGCCCTAACCACCTGGCCATGCTGGGCCCAGACATATAAGGAAAGAAAGACAAACTGTGAGAACAGTACCTAGCCGCGAAAATATGGCTGTACCTTGTAATTTTCAACAAAGCATTTGTGCACCTTGATAACTTTAAATAGTCTCGTGCTAGTTTCTACTAGCCAATGGGTTAAAAAAATTTTTAATGTAGAATCAGGCATGTCGCAAAGCTTTCTCGAAGGATTTTTGTTGTT